AGTTTGAATCGTAGAGCTACATCCTTTGGGATTTTGTTGTGAACATTGGAGAAAGGTGAGAACAAAGCCATTCTTAGTGCAACCTTTATTCATTTCTTACCATCAGCACTCGTGTATTATTATCAACACTTTAGAATTTAATTATTAGGCCACACCATTTCAGATGTCAAGTAGCTTACAATCGGGTTATTATAAATTTAAAAGCCTCCTAACTCTCTATACTCCTTCATGAGGAAGTGGAGCGTATTCTCAGATCTTTTTAAATAGATCATTAAAATCAGAGAGTAGATGATAAGACTTGTTTCAGAAATAAACCAACACTCATGCAAACTATACGAGTACATTTCCAGGACTTTGCTACTAATTCAAACTAGAACGAAAAGCATAATCTAGGTGGTTTGTTGGGGAATTTCTATTACTAACACATACTTTGCCTTTTAAACAAAAAAATATCAATTTATACTGAAAAAGGTTAATATACATATATATGAAATTAGGATGAATCTTTTCTTGTTGATTTTAAGAAATAAATTTGAACGACTGTAGGCATGTGTGTACACACCAGATTAAAATGTTAAAGAAACGGCGCCTGTTGTGCATGGAAGTTAGGAAGTTTGATTGTATACATACGCGTGCATGAAAAAAACTGGGAAAATAATTTCAGTGAAAAGTAAAATAGGACAGTTTATAAGTTTCAAGGAATATTTAACATATTTGAAAATAATTATTCAAAGTAAATGAAGCACTCTAGTATGCGGTGTGGGGTTTTTGGACCCCTGTAGGGAACCACTAGTCATGATTCCACCGCGATACTGTTAATACACAAGGCTTGAGACATTTGTCACCGACCTTATCATTTTATATGGCACTACACACTTCCAGCTAAAGCATCCAGGGGCAAACCAATGCCAAATGAGGTACCGTTATGTATTTGTTCCCATAACACATGCTAACGCACTGAAGCACCGAAGCAGGAAACCGGATGATGGAGCTATGCAAACTACTTTCTGGTCATCTCTAGGACTTCCAAGGGCATTTGGATTTGAATACTGATGACACTGTCACCACTTACGCTGTGAGGCATTGAAGGGCTTCTTATTGCATGAGCACATTTCGGTTGAAAGGACTCATTAGCTGCAGCAGACGCATCAAAAGCTACGCCACCATTGTCATACTTTGAACATGCCACATTTTGGGGCGCCTGCATCGATTCTGTGTAGGCAGACGAGCTCAGTGGGTTTACCTTGATAGCATCGGAGAGCAAAGCAGAACGCTGCCGTTGCCCTATCGTGGGGACAATGATACTACCGTTCGACATGTCCGTGTTGGTATGACCTGTGGGGTGCGGCAGTGCGTTGGCGTTGATCAGACGCTGCCGAATCTGCTCTACTGACGCCATTTTGATGGCTAGGCGACTGATCATACCTTGACAGTAGTCCTCGTCTGTTATGCGGGGGGTGCGTCGTGGGATAGGGATGCTCCACTTTTG